TCCATTTGAAAAATCAAAGTTGCTACTGCTTTCTAATAGAAGCGGCAACACCGCATTGTCGAAAATATTTTAGTTGGCTAGAGAATGTCCGAATATGCCCTCCATTAAATTTTCAAAGTGATCCGTTGTCTGGTTCACCAGAAACGTCTAATGTGCCATCCACCGTGAATCAGCCTGTATACGTCTCTTTTAGCAACAGACTGTTTTAACAATGAAAAAATCGAATCAGCGAAGTGGACAGTGATTTTCGTCGGCAGAAGAAACCGATGATCCATTTGAGATTAATGCCATGATTATTTCCATGGGTCGACCATTATGAGTGGAATTATGGGTGAAAACAATAAAAACATATTCAATGACAAATTAATAATCGGGTAAACATCCCAAAAATTATGAGTGGATTTTTCTGTGCCATTGAATATTTTTTTCTTCTGAGGATTGAATTGAGTTATTTACATTTTTTGTTTGAAGGAGTATATAGTTCTACTTCATAGTAGTGATTATGTATGTACACTTTAGTACTTTTGTCCCATTTTATTGTTGAAAACGGATTGATTTTTAACTCAGCAAACTGGATGAAACGTGTATAACGTTCAGTTATTGAAAACTACATCATCTCGTCAATATTATCTGCAGTAACAGAACTATCACGTGAGTCGGTGAGGATGATGTTGACATTTCACAAGTTTAATCCGTACATTCTTCGATGATGATCCAGACCGAGTAGTTGAGTTTTGTTGAAAGAATTCGTGCTGAAGCTGGACTATTGAAAAATATTTGTTTCAGTGACAAACCCGCATCGATTCATAGGTCACACTCAATATCCAGAAAAACATAATGTTCGGACAGGAATATTAGACGATGCTCAAATTGGTTTATACCAGTCGCAAAATTTATCTGAATATGCTGGAAATATATGCTATGAAAGTGGGTTTTTTTAGATTTTTTGTAAACTATATTTATTTGAACAGACCTCATGATTATTTGTCCACATTTCCTGTATAAAGAATTATAGTTTCCTGAATGTTTATTTTTATTACTTTTTGTAGATTTCTCAAGCGACCTCTTATCAAAGTAAAGATTTTCCATCTTCAGAAAAAGATATCGCTGGCGAACCAGAAGTCAGCAAGTATGTTCAGAAATTCCGAAGAGACTCAGAAATTAAAAAATCGTTACCAAAGAGAAAAAAGATCAAGAGAGGCACACTCGAGAGTCATTCGTTCACCAATATCAATCAGCCAATTCTGAAAGATTTCTTCTTTGGTTCGAAGGAGGGTACCATGCATCAAGGTAATTTCATGCGACTGTAGTTGCTGCTATCAAATCCCTAATTTTTCAGGTGATTTCAGTTTTCCTACATCAGTGAGGAATAATCAGGGGATATGCATGTCCGTAGCAGCTTATTGTTACTCAATTTTAAAACACCCCAACAAATGGACGCGAGAAAATATTGATGAAATATTGAACTTTGGCAACAATCTTTTGTTGGAAAGTGCCAAACAGGCTCACATACACCGTTTGTCGAGAGAATTGAAGCCCAATGAGTTGCAGAAGTACTGTATTGTAGGTAATATAATCAACAGGCTTCCAAACAATATAACAGTTATATGCCAGGACGGATTCATGGGAGGGGTGATAGGGGTTTTCAACTTCCCTCGACATCAACATTCAATACTAAAACGAAAGATATAACTGAAACCTCTGGCGTAGGGTACATCCAAAACAAGCACTCTTTCCAAACATCAGAACTCCCAACAATATTTTATAATAGTTGCGAAAACGTTTCGTTTGTTTATGAAACAGCTATAAGTAGGAAATGAGCACCTTTTTATTAAACATTATAGTCTTTATTATTATTTTGTAAGGCCTATTACAAACACTATGAAACAGTTTTATGAACATTTCGACAGTTCTAACACTCTTAAAAATTAGTTTTGTAAAGAAATTCATAAAATAATTGAAATGTAGTTTTATAAGAGTCACTTAGTAGTTCCAAGTGATCATTAAAAATATAATGCAGCCCAAAACGATAACTATAAAATAAATAAGTGTTCAAAATGTTTCCTTAAAGACGCAAGAAGTAATTTTGTATTGGACACGAGGAAAATGTAATAGATATGTCACCAACTGAAAACTAACAAATAGAAAAGTTGAAGTTAATTTAACAATTCCACTTTCGTACTGTTGAACACATTGTTTGTGCTTCAAAGATTATAATTTTTACTGCGAATATAATTTTATTGACAAATATAGTCTAATATTAGCAAAATTTAAGCGCTACTTTTTTATTCATGTTTAAGAAAAAGATTAGTAATCATACAAAAACTCACTCTGTCGATGTATTGATTTTCTAGTCGCGAACTTAACTCAGATTGTTTTAAATAATATAAACTTATAACATCTATGTACTTTTCAGCTGTAAATATCACTATAAACGTGGTATTTGATGTCAATAGCAAGCATTTTAACGTATTTCAGCTACTATGTTATCCCTATAAAACTGTTAAGAAACACTTAGTTCTAGGAGTGATGGTATTGCGTCAGAGTCGGACTACTTTTAAAGCTGTAGATTTCTAGAAAAGTGCTTCTATGAAGATATGATTTCTCACGTATAGTATGGATAAATATTATCGATCAGAATATTTTAGCTAAATAGTTTCGTCCATTGATTATAAATGTTAAATTTCAAAGGAATTCTGATCTGGTGATTTGAGGGTATATATACATGGTGCTCCAATTGAATAGACGGATTTCAACCATTAATAACCTTTTTCTCTTTTTAGTAAGTAAGAAAAAAATTGAAGCTCTAGGTTACGATTTTTTTCCGAAGTCCAATATTACACGACATTATTAGGTATATAGTTATTAGGACGCTAGTCAAATAAAACTGACAAACTATACATCATTACATGACCTCTAAAATCAATGGGCTGTTTGAAATGGAACCTTCGTCACCGTTCATATTTCTCATGCCGAACTTTGCTTCTCACAAATTTTGTGTTGTGAAAAATATTATGATCTATCAGGAATATATCAAAAATCAACAGTATTCTTTCTGTAGACATCTAATTCTAGACCCTGGTTACTTCTGACATCCAAAAAAGTCCTCTGATCCAAGTCCGTGTTAAGTAATACAATTCATCTATTGTTTCCAATTGAAATCTGAAATGAACAGATTAGCTAAAAAAAGGGGATAGTGGTTTTTCTATTGCCGTGCCTTCGTGCAGTCTTCAGACACAGTTGAACTGGAAGCAATTCTATTCTTCGCAGATTGTTATTAATTGTATGTAGTATCCGATTACTTCAACACTGAGAACTTTGACCCTCAGAAGATTTCTGAAATATTCAGTAGTTTTTGGTAGGTATAGGAACATTTGGAAACAAGGATACATCAAATGATACTAAAATCTCTCCATCTCGCAACTATACATACCTGTTCATCTATGAACTCATGTGACAACAAAACTTATATTCAGTTGTGGAATTGGGAAAGATTCAAACTTTTTTCAGTTAGAGGAACTTATGGCGGAGACAATTATTGGTCCCACCGACTTGCCAGATTGCGATCAAATTTTAACACTTTTTGAGTGTGTTTTTCACTTATGACACCATCTTAGGAAATGGATCCTTGGTAATTTATTATAGGAACCGTTCTCAATTGAATTATCAATTATATAATTTGTCTGATATCACAACCTTATTGCCTTTGTCTGCTTTCAGATAGAAATCATTCAATCTTTCCTTCTTGATCCAAAATCATTGATGTGTGTGTGAAAGTGAGTGTTGTTAGATGTTAATAGAAACCAGTTTCAGAGCTTAAAATTAGTGTTCTTCATTTCCAGAAGACGCCAACTTGGTTGGTGAAACGCGCGTCGAGAAGTGTGTTGCAGTTCTGATGTTTGGGAACAGTTTTTGTATCGAGCATTCAATACATTTCAAATGAGTATTGTAGTATATACAGGCACATAATATACAGGCTGATACACGGTGGATGGCACATTAGACGTTTCTGGTGAACCAGACAACGGATCACTTTGAAAATTTAATGGAGGGCATACTCGGACATTCTCTAGCCAACTGAAATATTTTCGACAATGCGGTGTTGCCGCTTCTATTAGAAAGCAGTAGCAACTTTGATTTTTCAAATGGAACACTCTGTATATAATATTATTTTTGGAATCTCCAACAATTGCCCGACAACTTTTCTTGATATTTCCCTATACCTATCTGTTACCGTTTTCGAAATAAAAATTAATTTC